AGATTTAGGTTCTTTATCATATTTCAAGCTTGTATTGAAGGATCTACACTTGGATTTCAAGATTCTACCATCATTTCGATAGATAATCTTCTTTTCCCCTTTTATTTCTTTATCTTGCAATGTTTATGCTTTACACTTGTGTTTTTGTGTTCTTTATGCTACTTAATCATGAGTAGTTAGTTTATGGACTTGAGTTTGGGTTGTATTTTCTATCTTGATGCATGATTTGTGATTATTGCAAAAAGGGGAAGAACTCTAACCTAGGGTTCTTGAGTTTATGAAGGATTTGTGTTTGTATATTGTTAATGCTTGGTGTACAACATTCACTGGCATGTTTTGGAGGATTCTTGGCCTCAATGAGAGTTTGGTTAAGATTCCAAGCCACTCCTTGCATAAACTCGATTTTTCCTATGAAAATAGGGGAAGTTGGGGGCTTTTGATGCTTTGTGTTCTTGAAGAACTTGGAGTTGATTCACCACGAGAGTGGGACAATTTCTTGTTCTAATCCTTGATAATTTGCTCACGTGAGTGACGTATAGAGTAGGATTCCTACGTGCATCTCCTCTATCCCTTGGTTGTGTGATTTCCCTTAATACCATATGTTGTTGAAGCATCTAGACGATAATACTCCCTAGCTTGAGTCCTATTTCTTTATTTTGTGTTACCTCTTGTTCATATATGTTTTTGTTATTTTGTTTAGTTACCGTAGCTTCAACCTCGTTATAATTTGCTTAGCTTCTTGTTGATTTTTCTTATGCTAGTGCCTAGTTGTTTGTGATTGCATATTGCGTGCCATATCCCTCAATCCCTTGAGGACGACATAACACACTCGTACACTCACCATCACTCATTTTTACTACACATCAGTATTATAACTTCTTCTTTTTTTTTTTTTTTTTTTTTTGCTTTTCATTTCATATATATCAAATACAAATTAAATTTAGGATTAACTGTGGCTTAGTTGATTTTGTAAAGCAATTTGAATTAGATTCAACTAAATTATTTGATTTTGTAAAGCAATTTTAATTAGATTCGACTAAATTATTTGAATAATTGAATTTGATATGAATAGTGTCGATATGTCCGAGTGGTTAAGGAGACAGACTTGAAATCTGTTGGGCTATGCCCGCGCAGGTTCGAACCCTGTTGTCGACGATCACATGTTATTCCACTTATTTGAATGATGTAGTATTTTCAGGAAAAAAAAAACCTGAATTTTATCCGACAAAATACTCCGGTAATAGATTCCGGCATGTTTGTCTTGTTCTAACGTAGACAACCAATCATCTATCACTGACACCAAGATTCTTAATTTTATTTTCATTTTTTAATTTACAAATAATTCAATCTAACACATTTTTCTTGCATTTTTATGTATTTTATATATCAAAATTGAGAAAAAGATTGATTTATCACAACCAAGCAATTGTTACTACATTTTTAGTAGGGTTGTAAAAATCGGTCTAGGCGCCCGTCTAGACCCCGCCTAGGCGCTAGGCGCCTCTAGACCGTGGCGATTTCTCCCCTAGGCGCCCGCCTAGATTACCGGCCGCCTAGGCGTCCGCCTAGCGCTTAACTCGACCGATTTGGCCGCCTAGCGTCTAAGTTAGTCGAGTTAACTCGTCCATTTCGGTCGAGTTAACCCGATCTACTCGACCTATTTTTTTATTATATATATATATATATATATATATATATATATATATATATATATATATATATATATATATATATATATGTGTGTGTGTGTGTGTGTGTGTGTGTGTGTGTGTGTGTGTGTGTGTGTGTGTGTGTGTGTGTGTGTGTGTGCACGCGCACGCATACATATATATAATATGACATATATACACTCATAGACTAGTTTGATACTTTGAATCTTTGGATGATTGAAGTATTTGAGTATTTCATATTTGAGTATTTTTAATTTTTAATACTGTTTTAATGTTTTTTTTTTTTTTTGAAAACCATTGTTTTGATGTTATGACTTATGAATTATCATTAATTCATTTATTTGGATGTGTTATTTGATTAAATGTTGAAAACAACCTTATTAAAATTGTCAAATTTTAAGTCTACCGCTGATTTTTTGGGGCCCGCCTAGCGCCGCCCAGATTCCGCCTAGGCGCTAGTCGCTGTCCGGACGCCCGACTAGCGCCTAGCGCCTACTGCAACCATGATTTTTAGTATTGGAATTGTAAATATATACCTAGGATATAAATTGTGTTTCTAAGTTTTAACAATTTGTGAATACAATACAGCGTCACCACAAATTGTGAATTTTTAGAAAGTAAATTATAAACATTTAGTATGTAAATTGTATATTTTTGAACCCGAGACACCTTGCAGAATAATTTGCCTCAACTAAGTGAGTGGAGTATAATTGATGTATCTGAAGGTAAGAAGTTCAATTATAGCCATAAGTTTTTTTTTGCTAGTAATAATGACAGATTTAGTTTACTCTTGCAAAAGCCACTCACCATTCATTATATTATATTGTTTGTAAGGATAACAATATCCCTTAGGCTTCATGCTAATATCTTGATCTTCTCTGCAGCCATCTTTGTCCTCAAAAGCTTTATCCACTTTCAGTCCATGGCGACAGAACCGACATGGCATCAGCTGCTCGGAAGCGAGAACTGGGAAGGTCTACTGGACCCTCTAAACCTCAGCCTCCGGCACCTCATTCTCCGGTGTGGCGACTTCTGTCAAGCCACCTACGACTCCTTCAACAACGACAGCAACTCCAAGTACGCCGGCAGCTGCCGCTACGGCAAACGCTCCTTCTTCCACAAAGTAATGCTCCCATCCGCCGACGACTACCAAGTGGAGGCCTACCTCTACGCCACCGCCAAACTCCCCGTCCCGGAGGCCTTCCTCCTTCACTCCCTCTCCCGCGAATCTTGGGACAGGGAATCTAACTGGATTGGCTACGTCGCCGTTACCAGCGACGCCGTCAGTAAAGCCCTCGGCCGCCGCGAAATCTACGTGGTGTTTCGCGGCACCACCACGGACCTCGAGTGGATCAACGTGTTCATCGCCAAGCCGGTATCCGCCGAGTCTCTGCTTCGTTCCATTACTAACGGCGACAAGGGGGATGAGGAAGATGATAAAGTCCCCAAAGTCATGTTTGGTTAGCCTCCAAATTAAATGAATCTCCTCTTTATATTTATTTATTTTGATTTACAAAAAAAAATTCACAGTTACTATCCAAAATGTGATTTTAGGGGAAGTAATTAAGCCTTATAACCTATCTAGCAAAAGACTACAACCCCTCAAAATGAAGGGACCTTTTCTGCTTAATGAGTAAAAGTTTAGTCTCGATTGGTCGACAGTTGAGTCACCATAATTTATATATTCCTCTACAAACTGTGCGGCCGTGGTGTGGGGCCCTGGGGTGAGCGATTTTACTTTTTTGTCACAAGAAAATTAAAAGACCATACCCCTACAAAAAGATAAAACAACATAGGTTATCCATAGTTTTTATGAAAACTAGGTCATCCATAGTTGATTGGCTCAAAATAAGAAAGCCAATAAATAACTCAGAGTAAAACTTTAGAATGTTAAGTTTTGGATACATTAGCTAGCAAAAGACCACAACCCCTCAAAACGAAGGGGCTCCTTGTGCGCAGTGAGCAAAAATTTAGCCTCTGTTGCTCAGATCAGTTGAGTCACCATAATTTATATATCCCTGGCCTCTACAAACTGTGACCGTGGTGTGGGGCCCTGGGATGGGCGATTATACTTTTATGTCAAAGGAAAAACCATAATCCCACAAAAAGGTAACCCAACATAGGTTATTCATAACTGATCGGCTCAAAACAAGAAGGCCAATAAACAAACTCATAGTCAAACTTTAAAATGTTACATTTTAATTACCAAAGTCAATTGTCCGAACAACTTGACTATGATTTTTCTGTATTATTTTGAATTCCCATCTCATATTTAAGTTAATTATTAGTTATTCTGATTGGTTGTTCGTTTTTGGTTTAAGGTTGGCTCACACTCTATACTTCAAAGGATCCAAACTCGCGCTTCACTACCCTAAGTGCAAGGGAACAACTCCAAACAAAGATTGAAGAGTTGAGGAGCAAATACAAAGGAGAGAATTTGAGCATCATAGTCACGGGGCATAGTCTCGGTGCAACTTTAGCAACCCTAGCAAGTTTTGATCTATGCGAAAACGGCGTCACCGACATTCCGGTGACGGCCATAGTCTTCGGCAGCCCTCAAATAGGCAACCAAGTGTTCGATAAAATGATGGGTGAAAAGACGAACCTTAAAATCTTACACATCCGCAACAAGATTGATATGATTCCTGAGTACCCAGGAGCTCTATTAGGGTACGTGAAGTCGGGACTAGAGTTCGTGATCGACCACCGAAAGTCGACGATCCTGAAGAAGTCAATGAACACGGGAGACTGGCACAACTTGCAGGCCATGTTGCACGTTGTGGCTGGGTGGAATGGGGAAGATAGGGAGTTTGAGTTGAAGGTGAAGAGGTGTGTGGCCCTTGTGAACAAGTCTTGTGAGTTCTTGAGGGAAGAGCTTTTGATTCCGGGCTCATGGTGGGTTGAGAAGAATAAAAGTATGGTTCTTGATGAAAATGGAGAGTCGGTTTTGGCATCACCTAATGACGAAGACCTACCCGTCCCTGAATACTAAATATGTATTAGCTATTGTCATTTAGGCCACGCAACTTTAACGGGTAAAGGATTAGCCAAGAAGTTAAGACAACTTCTTATAATTAAGAGTCTTGTGATTATTAAGTTAATTGTTAGAACAATTTAGCTGTGTTGTCCCTTAATTTATATTTTTAATGTGTCTTCTTTGAGTGGTGTTGTTTAATTTCTATATTTCTTTTTTGTTGTTTTTTTTGTATTATGAAGGTGTGTAATTGTTGTGTCTCAATAAACATTTTTAGCTTGGTTGTTGCCTATGTGTAATTTCATATATAAGTTTGTTCATTTTTATATTTTAACAAACCAAGGTGGGGCGGATACATGCAGCGGCTCCGCGTCAAGCTTGGTTTCGATGGCCTTTTTTATGTTGATAGTACTGGATTGAGTGGTGGTTTAGCTTTGCTGTGGAGAAAGAACAACACAACTAGGCTATTGAGTTTTTCAAAGAATCATGTCGATGTGGAGGTTAGTATTGCTGGTTTTCCCAATTGGCGTATGACAGGGTTTTACGGTTTTCCTGAGCGAAGAAGACGTCCTGAGTCCTGGGAGCTTCTTAAATCTCTTGCTCACAGGTATGATCTACCATGGGTGGTTGTAGGCGATTTTAATGATCTTCTTTTTCAGCATGAGAAAATGGGTGGGATCCCACACCCTGATGGTTTCCTACGCGGTTTTGGGGATGCCTTAGATGATTGTGGATTGTCTCATTTACAGATGGAGGGTTACCCCTTTACATGGGAAAGGGGAAAGGGTACTGCGGATTGGATTGATGAGAGATTGGATAAGGTGGTTGCTTCTGTAGATTGGTGAGGTAGTGTCGTGGGAGCTAGTGTGGTGAATATGTTGACACGCCCTTCTGATCATTCTGCTCTCTTTCTAGGGATCCTGGATCCTCAAATGAGTGGCGGGGGACTGAGAAGAAGTTTTCGGTTTGAGATGGCTTGGTTGCGTGATGAGGGGTGCAGGGGTGTGGTGGATGGGGCATGAGGGAGGGAAAGGTTTTGGGCCTACAAGATTGTATGCAGTTGTGTGGGAGTCGTCTGGCTCGTTGGGGAGGCGACCGTTTCCACAAATTTGGTGAGCAGATCAAGAATCTCTGCAAGGAACAATCTTATCTTCGATGACGTAGGGACCTAGTCTCGCTGGTCGAGTTTCAGCGCATCAAGACTCTTTTATGTCGTGTGGAAGCTCAGGAGGATTCTTATTGGAGATAGAGAGCCAAGCAGCACTGGTTGAAGGGTGTTGACGCCAACACTAAATTCTTCCACAGATATGCCTCTCACCATAGGAAGAAAAATACTTTATTTAGGCTTAAGAATGATTGTGGGGACTGGGTTGAGGGTGATGCCATGAAGTCAATTATTTTCAATTACTATAGGGGTATATTTCACACTAGCTCTCCAGCTAAGGGGATCCTTTCTTTAGTACTGTTTCTCCCCGGGTCACTCAATCTCATAATGATACTCTCCTCCATCCCTTCGAGTTGGAGGAGGTTAAATCGGTCATTTTTTCTATGTTTCCTGATAATGCTCCAGGCCCTGATGGGATGAACCCGGGCTTCTATCAGCATTTTTGGGATGTGGTGGGTGGTGATTTTTCATCGTTTGTGATTAATTGTCTTAATTCCCGAGCCTTCCCGGTGGGTCTGAATGATACAGATGTGGTCCTTGTTCATAAAAAGAAGGTCCCTGAATTAGTGTCTGATCTTAGGCCTATTGCCTTGTGTAACATTGTGTACAATATTATAGCTAAGATGATTGCCAACAGGATGAAGCTTCTGTTGGAGGAAATTATATTATTTATGAATCACATATTGCTTTTAAACCTGATAGACTGATCACGGATAATATTCTATTAGCTGCAGAAGTGGGTCATTTTTTTGAATAAAAAGCAGTGTGGTGTAATTGGTTGGGGAGCTCTTAAACTGGATATGACTAAGGCCTATGACCGTATGGAGTGGTCTTTTTTGCGTAAGATGCTTGTGGCTCTGGGTTTTGATATTAGATGGGTAGAGCTTGTTATGTGTTGCGTTACTACTTTCTCCTATAGCTTCTTGGTTAATGGGGCTCGCAGTGAACGTGTTACTCCCACTCGGAGTCTAAGACAAGGTGACCCTCTATCCTCATATCTCTTTATCATTTGTGTAGAAGGACTATCTTTATTGCTGCAACAGGCACATAATAGGGGTTCTATTCGTGAATGAAGCATCAAGCATATCATAACATTATTTTTTTCCATATACTTATTTTTACCATAAAAGTCTTAATGTGCACATTGTTTGACCTTTTGAGTTTATGTTCGGCCAATTTCAATAAAACTAACAATTACATTGATTTTTTAAATAAATTAATAACTTGCTTTTCTTATTAAATTAAAAATTTTAAAAATGGCATTATAACTTCTTCTTTTTTGCTTTTCATTTCATATCACTACTGGAAATTATGGAATTTCCAACCACCTGAAAGTGATCTTAAATCAAGTTGATACCAAAAAGTGGTCGAAAATAGCAACAAAGGTTTTTCCGGATACCAAAAGCTAGTGATCGGAACAAGGCTTTTGACTTGATTTAAGATCACTTTTAGGTGGTCGAAAGTTTCATAATTTCCAGTAGTGTATATATCAAATACAAATTAAATTTAGGATTAGTTGTCGCTTAGTTGATTTTATAAAGCAATTTGAATTAGATTCAACTAAATTATTTGAATAACTGAATTTGATATGAACATCGTCAATATATCCGAGTGGTTAAGGAGATAGACTTGAAATCTGTTGGGCTATGCCCGCGTAGGTTTGAACCCTGCTGTTGACGATCACATGTTAATACACTTATTTGAATGAAGATTTTCATATTGTTTTCAAAAAAAAAAAAAAAAAAAAAAAAACTGAATTTGATCCGACAAAATACTCCGGTAATAGATTCCGGCATGTTTGTCTTGTTCTAACGTAGACAACCAATCATCTATCATTGACACCAAGATTCTTGTTTTCACTATAATTTTATTTTCATTTTTAATTTACAAATAATTCAATTTAACACATTTTTCTTGCATGTTATATCATGGACCAGTGTCCACCTTAAAAGGTGGACCCTGATCCTAAATTATGTATTTCGAATATTAGAATTATGAATATCTAGAATATAAATTGTGTTATAAAGTTTTGACAATTTGTGAATACAATACAGGGTGTGAATTTTTAAAAGATAAATTGTGTACATTTAATATGTAAATTGTGTATCTTTGAATCTGGTTCGGAATCCACAGAATAATTTGCCTCAGCCAAGTGAGTGGAGTATAATTGATGTATCTGAATGTAACAAGTTCAATTATAGCCATCACATTTTTTTGTGGAGCACGTATTATAATATTTTTTTTTTAATGTGATTTATTTCTCAATCGAACTTATTGCATAAAGTGATTTTAATATCATACATATCTACAATAGTGATTTTCAGTTTTTCTTCAAATTCAGACATATTTAGTTTACTCTTACAAAAGCCCCTCACCATTCATTATTTTGTTTGTAAGGATAACAATATCCCTTAGGCTTCATGCCAATATCTTGATCTTCTCTGCAGCCATCTTTGTCCTCAAAAGCTTTATCCACTTTCAGTCCATGGCGACAGAACCGACATGGCATCAGCTGCTCGGAAGCGAGAACTGGGAAGGTCTACTGGACCCTCTAAACCTCAGCCTCCGGCACCTCATTCTCCGGTGCGGCGACTTCTGCCAAGCCACCTACGACTCCTTCAACCACGACAGCAACTCCAAGTACGCCGGCAGCTGCCGCTACGGCAAAAACTCCTTCTTCCACAAAGTCATGCTCCCATCCGCCGACGACTACCAAGTGGAGGCCTACCTCTACGCCACCGCCCAACTCACCGTCCCGGAGGCCTTCCTTCTTCACTCCCGCTCCCGCGAATCTTGGGACCGGGAATCCAATTGGATTGGATACGTCGCCGTTACCAGCGACGCCGTCAGTAAAGCCCTCGGCCGCCGTGAAATCTACGTGGTGTTTCGCGGCACCACCACGGACCTGGAGTGGATCAACGTGTTCAGCGCCAAGCCAGTATCCGCCGAGCCTCTGCTTCGTTCCAGTACTAGTGGTGACAACGACGACAAGGAGGAGGATGATGATAAAGTCCCCAAAGTCATGTTTGGTTAGCCTCCAAAATTAAAGAAATCTCCTCTTTATATTATATATTTTGATTTATCAAAAAAAAAACTCACTGTTACTATCTAGAAGGTGATTTTGAGGAAATTGAGAACCTTAGCTAGTAAAAGACTACAACCCCTCAAAATGAAAGGGCTCCTTGTGGGCAGTGATCAAAAGTTTAGTCTTTTGGTCAGTTGAATCACCCTAATTTATATTTCCCTCCACAAATTGTCAGACTGTGGTGTGGGGCCCTGGAGTGGGCTATTTCTACTTTTTTATCAAAAGGAAAAGACCACAACCCCACAAAAAGGTAAACCTACGTAGGTTATTCATAACTGATCGGCTCAAAACAAGAAAGCCCATAAACAGCTCAGAGTCAAACTTTAGAATGTTAGGTTTTGGGTACCTTAGCTTGCAAAAGACCACAACACCTCAAAATGAATGGGATCTTTATTCGCAATGAGCAAAAGTTTAACATCTGTTGGTCACTTGAGCCACCATAATTTATATATTCCTCCACAAACTGTTGGACCATGATGGGCCTCTGGAGTGGGCAATTCTACTTTTTTTTCACAAGGAAAAGACCACAACCCCACAAAAAAGATAAATTAACCAGCATATTGGTTATCCATAGTTGATCGTCTCAAAACAAGAAGGTCAATAAACAGCTCAAAGTTAAACTTTAGAATGTTAGGTTTTGGTTACCAAAGTCAATTGTCCGAACAACTTGCTATGATTTTCCTATATTATTTATATATTTCTAATTCCCCATCTCAGGTTGGCACACGCTCTATACTTCAAAGGATCCAAACTCGCGCTTCACTACCCTAAGCGCAAGGGAACAACTCCAAACAAAGATTGAAGAGCTGAGGAGCAAATACAAAGGAGAGAATCTGAGCATCACACTCACGGGGCATAGCCTCGGAGCAAGTTTAGCAATCCTAGCAGCTTTCGATCTATGCGAAAACGGCGTCACCGACATTCCGGTGACGGCCATCGTCTTCGGCAGCCCTCAAATCGGCAACAAACTGTTTGATAAACTGATGACTGAAAAGACAAACCTTAAAATCCTACACATCCGCAACAAGATCGATATGATCCCGGAGTACCCAGGAGCCCTGTTGGGATACGTGAAGTCAGGGCTGGAATTCGTGATCGACCACCGGAAGTCGACGAGCCTGAAGAACTCGATGAACCCTAGCGACTGGCATAACTTGCAGGCGATGTTGCACGTGGTGGCTGGGTGGAATGGGGAAGATGGGGAGTTTGAGTTGAAGGTGAAGAGGTGTGTGGCCCTTGTGAACAAGTCTTGTGAGTTCTTGAAGGAAGAGCTTTTCATTCCGGGGTCATGGTGGATTGAGAAGAATAAAAGTATGGTTCTTGATGAGAATGGAGAGTGGGTTTTGGGATCACCTAATGACGAGGACCTACCCGTCCCTGAATACTAAGGCCAGACAATCTTAACAGGTTAAGGATCAGTCTCGAAGACAGTTCGGCCAAGCAACCTTAACGGGTTAAGGATCAGTCTCGAAGACAGTTCTTATAACTAAGAATCTTGTAATTATTAAGTTAATTGTCTGACTTTTTTACGTTGTCTCTTCATTTATACTTTTAATGTGTGTTCTTTGAGTGTTGTTCTTGAAGTTTGTGTATTTATTTGCTGTCTTTTGTATTATAATGGGTGTGTAATTGTTGTGTCTCAATAAAAAATTTGTATTTTCCAATTCAGCTTGGTTCGTTGTTGCCTAGCTATGTGCACTTTCATATATAAATTTGTTCATTTTTATATTTTAACTAGCACTAATATAAGGTGTATACTATATAGGTAGTTGCCTAGCAAGATGACACGAAAGTAAAAAATGTAAAACATGCCAAAAAAAAGGAGATAGTAGAATTACTCAAATCACCTGCACAACTTAATTAATTTTGGTGAATTGTAGACAAGAATACAATATTTGTTCTAATTCTAATAGAGTGTAATTAGTTTCACCCATATTAGACTCCTACACTACAAAGAATATAATATCAATTAAACTGTCCAAATTACAAACTTAACTCGTAAATTTGACCTAGATCTTAATTACCGTACTTCTTCAATGCATTATATTATTGAATAATTATTAATCAAAATTTTCCTCAGCGGATCGGATGAAGGGGACCCACCCCTATATATATATATATATATATATATATATATATATATATATATATATATATATATATATATATATATATATATATATATATATATATATATATATATATATAGTAGGATTCCAATGAGAACACTTATTTAGGTGAGAATGTGAGAACAAATCGTGTGCATTTATCTAATATTTTTTAATGGTCTAGATTAGATTAAGTGTGCGCGAACGCGAATTAAATATAATTATTAACAATATTTTAAAATAAATTTATTTTTTTATGAATCATCTAGTCAATGTAATTTGGAAGTTTTTATTACTTTACAAAAACAAAAACTTAAAATTGACCTAGCCAATGTGTGATTGATAATGTGTTTTTAAGTTGAACCATTTTACACAATTAATTATGTTTCATTTTGTATTAATATTTTTATCGTGTTGTGAAATGTTTTTATTTGTAGCCATGGTAATAAAATTTTCTAGCGTTGCCTATGTCTATAAGTTTTGTTTTATAAAATTTATTAATAATTAATTTATTATGGGTTATAATATCAATGTATTTTTTATTAATTAATTATTTATTTATTTTTATACATTATAATTGTTTATTTATATTGCATTTAGGATAATACTTGGATTTTTTTAATAATTATTATTGTATATGTAAAATTTTTAAAAACTTGTAAATCTTATTTCAATTTATTTGACATGAGTATTTTATTTTCTTTAAGTAATTTAAATTTTAGGTTTGAAAATAAATATTAATTTTAGGTAGGGTTAATTTTGTTTTTTTTTTTTTTTTTTTTTTTGTTATTATGTAATGATGATGATGATAAGACAGACTTTGCTAGGACAAGTATATATCCAGGAATTTTCGGTATATAATATACTTTCCAAATTAAATCCTAACAGAAATCAACAATTACTTTCAAACAACTTCTAATGTGACTTGAAAAGTACGTAATTATTGTTCATTCTGATTCTTCAATTCTAAACGGATTTGAAAAGTAATTCATCAGCGTGATTCTTATATATAACACACATTCCTAAACCCTAATCTTCAATTCACTCTTAATTAACCACATTATCAGATCATAGATTCTTTAAACAAATTCTCTACACTCTGAGTTCTTGAAATCATGGATTCTCTTAAAGACGTCGAAGACAATACGCTTTTTCCGACGGGTTCTCACAGATTAGAGTATCTACTTGCGACATGTAAAGTCCAACAATTGACATTGTTGCCGGAGGAAGATGATGATGACGTCGACGACTCCGATCACTCCCATCATCTACATGACAGGATTACTAATGTTGTTGATGAACATCCTAGTACCTCCAAAAACGATGAACCCAAACCAGATTTTAAGATTGCGATAGCGGAAGATGATGAAAATGAGGGCATCTGCTTGAGGAAACTGAGACGGCTCGGAAAGGTGACTACTAAGCCACGAAGCGCCGCCGCCCCGGAGTCCGATGGGTCATCTTCCAGCGACGGCGGAGAAACGGCGTCACCGGAATCGAGTCCTTCTCCAAAATGGAAAAGGAAGAGATCCAGGAACGGCGGAGGCGGCGGAATCAGCATCCAAGAACCGCCGCCGCCAGTGCTGCCGGAGAAAATCGAGAAACTACTTCTCCACCTGCCGGAAACCCGAGAGGTAACGTCGGCGAAACTGGTGATTCAGAAAAAGCTAACGAACAGTGACATATGGGGCAACCAGAACCGGCTTTCCATTCCGACGAAGAAGTTACAGGAACCATTCCTAACGGAGGAAGAAGAGGCTCAACTGCGTACGCGCAACGGGAAGAAGGTGGGTGCCATGGAAGTCCCGTTCATAACGCCGGCGATAGATATTACAACGGTGAGCTTGAGGGCTTGAGGCGGTGGGAGATGAAAAAGAAAAGTGGACCTCCGAGCATCTCTTACGTGATAGCAAGGAACTGGAACGAAATCAGAGGACAGAATAGGCTTAGAAGTGGGATGAATGTTAGGTTGTGGGCTATTCGTATTGATGGAATCTTGTGTTTTGCTCTCGATACCATATAATTTTGTGTTTGTGAAATTACCTCGCATGATGAAGTAGATTGATTATGCATGAAATTTCCAAATTGCTTTCCAACAAACACCGGGCGTTTGGTTGGATGTAATTTGGTTGTAATTAAATTGTAATTCAATGAAGCTAAGGCCTGAATTATAGTCTTTGGTTGGAGGGAATTGCAATTCCAATTTCCTCCTTTTTGTTGAACTGCAATTCATGAGGTACCTCATGAATTGCAATTCAATGCATGTGGGGAAGGAAAATAGGGAAGAAATGATAAAAGTACCGTTTGTTTATTGTTTATTGTTATTGTTATTGTTATTGTTATACAAGGACATTTTAGTCTTTATATCACTTTTTCTTTCTCATCCCCAATAATTCTATTACCCATGCCAAACAATGTAATTTGAATTCCTACATTATTCCTACCATATTATTTTCCCACCAAATTGTAATTTCTTTTTTTCCTAATTCCTTCCTCCCAACCAAACACCCCCTTAACAGAACCAACAACAGCAATTAGAAAAATTTAAAATAGAAAATACAAAATTGTTAGAAACACATGCAAATGAAGAATGGTTTGAAAAATATTTTTTAAAGGTGTTAATTATCGAAATGGTTCTAGACTATGTATAACAAAATTGTCGATGTGACTGTTTTTTTACCAATTATGTCCCTCAACTTTAAAAATATTAATCAATTTGGTACTTTGTTTGCTTTGCCGTTAATTTGGGACAAAATTGATAATTTTATTATAGTCAAGGGACCATTTCAGTCATCACATGTGCCATTTTTTTCGAAAAGTTAATTAGTAAAATGATTCATTGACTATAGCGAAATTACCAATTTGGTCCCGAGTTAACAGATGTCTGACGACAAAACAACCAGAAAACCAAATTGGTTAAGATTTTTAAAATTAAAGGACTTAATTGGTAAAAAATAGTTAGACCAAATTAGTAATTTCATTATAGCCAAGGAACCATTTTGATAATTAACTCTTTTTAAAATTTAAACATTCATATCGGGATACTAAAGCAGTGTTCAAGACTATAAGATTATTGGAAAATAAACAAATGAAAAAAAAAAAAAAAAAAGAGTTAATAGAAGAAGTAAAAAACTTAGCTAGCAAATTAAAGAAAATAAAAGACAGGGAAATGAAATATAGTGCAGAAAAAAAAAAAAAAATTACTAGTGAAAGTGAGAAAGTATGTGGATGTGAAAATGAGCTTTAATTGAATTTATAGACGTTATAGAGACTTTGAAAATTTTAATGGATGCTTTAATCAAACTATTTAATTTATTAAATTAAAATGATTAATGATGATAATGATAAATAATAATATAGTAATTCTTTTCTTTTTTTGGTGCATTCGGCGTCCTCAAGAGAAGGCATTAACTGATCATTGAAACCGGCCTACTACGAGCATCAGCCTCAAGTAAAGCATTAAGATCCATCGGAGGCGAATCCAGAACGAGGATCCCCCGGCCCAATCAATATTCTGCCCAAGGTTTGCGAGCCAATCCACACATTGGCTCTCTTCTCTCGTAATGAGTAATTCTAAACATGTTGAGCTTACTGATGAGGTTAAAGTAATTTTTGACTAAAGTCACGACTGTCTCTTCCCTGCAGTTCTCCCTATTCATGGTTGCAACCATTGCCGCAGAATCCATTTCTGCCCATAGTAATTCTACTAAATGATATGATAAGCCTGATATTAAGTTATTATTTCCTCGTTTGATGTTTGAAATTGATTCTTAATATCTTTCTTGAGTATCTTAACAAATCATGATTAAGCTCTTTAAATTTAAAAGGCAAGCCACTAAATGGAACACTTCAATCTGTCCAAGAATTCTTAAAAAACTTGAAGTGAATGAGAAGGCATCCAGAGATACTTAGGATACCAGTTTAGTGATCGAATACGAAGTTGAGATAAATGGAATGTGAAAAGATCAACACGAAGTTGACTTGGGCTTCTAAGTTTTAATATCCAGATTCAATGATTTTATCAAGCTTATAATTTAGTGTTTTTTTTTTTTTTGTAGTGAAAAAATTTAAGTATTTGGAATGTCAGTGGGAAACTTTTGTTTGGAATGTTATAGATTTAATATAAGATAATTTTTCTCCTTTGTTACTTGTCAAATCTAATGTGTTCAAAATATGAGGAAAAGAAATTTCGACACATTATATTATGTTAATACAATTAATTCTGTTCACATATTAACAAAACATACATAGCAATAAGTTTTGATAGAACCTTAGCTTAATTGCGAGGTGAGATCACAGAATAGCATATTTGATGGAGATTATTTTGATTCTTTTTAAATTAGCACAAAGAGAATTATATATGAGAGAGGAAGTCTAATAAAAAGATGAATTTTGATATGTATTTGAGTCAAGTTATTAAATTACATTATTGACCTTATTGTTAATAGTATATTAACGTAAATTTTAAGGGATGATCAATGGTGACAATCAAATTGTGATTCAGTTATTAAAAATATTTTAAAAGATAATTTTTTTAATGAATCATTCAGTCAATGTAAT